TCTCAGGAAAGGCATATTAGTCGCGGGAATATATACTAAGTGACATATAAATCCGAACACACAGTTTAAATGGTTTTATTTTAATAAAAGTTGGTGAATGTATTTATCTTACTGTAAATAACAAGTGAAAAAATTTTCAGCCTTATCAGTTGGACATTCCGGTTTTTATACTGCTTTTTTTTAATTCACTAACGCTCTAAAAATGAATATTTCAGCCGCAGTAAAGAATCAATGTTGGCGGATTTTGGTTCTTGACATCCTTTCCGATCGGTTACGATGCCTAGAGTACGGAGACCTGTACGATTTCGTCAACCTAGTGAGTTTGAGAGGGGCCGTATAGCGGGACTTCGGGAAGCTGGACTTTCTTTTCGGGCAATTGCAGTTAGAGTGCAAAGAAGTGTAGACACTGTGGTTAGGTGTTGTCAGGCATGGCTTCGAGAAGGCCGTACGCAAAGAGCAAGGGGCACTGGACGCCGCCGTAGAACAACAGACCGTGAAGGTCGCCGCCTAAGATTATTGGCCTTAATGGACCGTTTCTCCACTACCAGGTCCATTGCAAATGAATGGTTTGCAGAACACGGAAGACCTATTGACATACGAGGTGTCTACCGACGAATGAGAAGTTTTGGCTTGTTTTCATACCGGCCACACTGGGTCCTCCCTTTAACTCGAGAACACCGACGTAATCTCCTTGAGTGGTGCAGACAACGGTCACTCTGGGATCAGGAATGGAACAGTATTGTCTTTAGTGACGAGTCTCGATTTTGTTTAGGCATGCACGATGGTCGTGCCAGGGTTAGAAGGCGACGTGGTGAAAGGAGGAATCCACAGTTTTTTGTTGAAAGACATGTTCATCACACTGTTGGAGTTATGGTTTGGGGTGCTATAGCTTATGGTTCCAGGTCACCTTTAATCTTCATCAGAGGTAACATGAACGCGCAGCGTTATATCCACGAAGTTCTAGAACCCCATCTTTTACCCTATCTTGACACCCTGGCAGATCCAACTTTCCAACAAGATAATGCCCGACCACATGTTGCAAGAGTCACAATAGACTTCTTTCAACATAATGATGTCACATTGTTACCATGGCCACCAAGATCTCCCGACTTATCCCCAATTGAGCACGTGTGGGATATGATGGGTAGGAGATTGCTCAATTTGCAACGTCCTCCTCAGACTCTAGAAGCACTTCGAGAGGAGTTGGTGGTTGCCTGGAATGAGATACCACAGGAGGACATTGACCACCTGATCAGAAGCATGCCTAGGCGCGTTGGAGAATGCGTAGCACATCAGGGTGCATCCACACATTATTAAAGGTCAAAGGGCTTTAAAGCAGTGCAATCATTTTGAAATTTTTATCATTTACTTATTATGCTTCATTAAGTACTTATACAAAATTATATTGAAATAAAACCATTTAAGCTGGGTGTTCGGATTTATATGTCACTTAGTATACATAAAGGATGTACAATAAGTGGACGACACTGACGTAGAATACTAAACAATAATGTGACAAGTTCAAAAAGGCTTACCTACAGAGATACAGGGTCGCGATGGATTCGTTATGTCTTCATTCCTAGACGACACTATAATTTGATGAACGTTTAACAGCAGAATGACTAATTAGTGCATTATTTGGCCCTTTAAATCGTCATGGACGTAGTAACTTTAATGCAATTTTGCTTGGCTTGTACATTATGTGGGTCTGATCGTTAAGCTGTAAAAATGTACTTGTGCTTGAGACCAGGAAGTGAGCTGATTCTTGGGAAAATATTTTCCCTTCACTGTTTCTATTTGCAAAAGTGATAAACTTGATTAAGTCATCTAGAAACTATTCAGAATTCTTATACATGTATAATTGTTGTAAGAACAACGTGAATAAATAAACAAAACATAACAAAGTTGTTGCCCTTATCAGATTAAAAGAATAGAAGTTTTATGAAAGAAAGGTTCAAATAAATTCAAAGATTATTCTATCAAGATATACAGGATATGCTGAAGACGTTGAATTTTTTAAGCAGTTTTAAAAATAGACTTCGGAGATACTATTTTGATTTGATGTGATGACATAAACAGCCTGAGAGGAACGTGGTCTCCTTTAGAACGAATCTACATCATTATAAAAAACCACTATTAATTTTCTGAGTTGTTAAGTTGAAGCAGGGATACCCCTGTACAGGATATGCTGAAGACGTTGAATTTTTTAAGCAATTTTAAAAAGAGACTTCGAAGATACTATTTTGGTTTGATGTGATGACATAAACAGCGTAAGAGGAACGTGGTCCCCTTTAGAACGAATCTACATCATTATAACAAACCACTATTAATTTTCTGAGTTGTTAAATTGTAGCAGGTATACCCGTGTACAGGATATGCTGGAGACGATGAATTTTTTACGCAATTTTAAAAAGAGACTTCGGAGATACTATTTTGGTTTGATGTGATCACATCAACAGCGCGAGAGAAACGTGGTCCCCTTTAGAACGAATCTACATCATTATAACAAACCACTCTTAATTTTCTGAGTTGTTAAATTGTAGCAGGAATACCCCTGTACAGGATATGCTGGAGACGTTGAATTTTTTCAGCAATTTTAAAAAGAGGCTTCGGAGATACTATTTTGGTTTGATGTGATGACATAAACAGCCTGAGAGGAACGTAGTCCCCTTTAGAACGAATGTACATCATTATAACAAACCACTTTAATTTTCTGAGTTGTTAAATTGTAGCAGGGATACCCCTGTACAGGATATGCTGAAGACGTTGAATTGTTTAAGCAATTGTAAAAAGAGACTTCGGAGATACTATTTTGGTTTGATGTGATGACATAAACAGCCTGAGAGGAACGTGGTCCCCTTTAGAACGAATGTACCTCATTATGACAAACCACTTTAATTTTCTGAGTTGTTAAATTGTAGCAGGGATACCCCTGTACAGGATATGCTGAAGACGTTGAATTTTTTAAGTAGTTTCAAAAAGAGACTTCGGAGATATTATTTTGGTTTGATGTGATGACATAAACAGCGCGAGATGAACGTGGTCCCCTTTAGAACGAATCTACATCATTATAACAAACCACTATTAATTTTCTGAGTTGTTAAATTGTAGCAGGGATACCCCTATACAGGATATGCTGAAGACGTTGAATTTTTTAAGCAATTTTAAAAAGAGACTTCGGAGATACTACTTTGCTTTGATGTGATGACATAATCAGCGTGAGAGGAACGTGGTCCGCTTTAAAACGAATCTACATCATTATAACAAACCACTATTAATTTTCTGGCTTGTTAAGTTGTTGCAGGGATACCCCTGTACAGGATATGCTGAAGACGTTGAATTTTTTAAGCAATTTTAAAAGGAGACGTCGGAGATACTATGTTGGTCTGGTGTGATGACATAAACAGCGTGAGAGGAACGTGGTCCCCATTAGAACGAATCTACATCATTATAACAAACCACTATTTATTTTCTGAGTTGTTAAATTGTAGCAGGGATACCCCTATACAAGATATGCTGAAGACGTTGTATTTCTTAAGCAATTTTAAAAAGAGACTCCGGAGATATTATCTTGGTTTGATGTGACGACATAAACAGCGCGAGAGGAACGTGGTCCCCTTTAGGACGAATCTACATCATTATAACAAACCACTATTAATTTTCTGGATTGTTAAGTTGTTGCAGGGATACCCCTATACAGGATATGCTGAAGACGTTGAATTTTTTAAGCAATTGTAAAAACAGACTTCAGAGATACTATTTTAGTTTGATGTGATCACATAAACAGCGTGAGAGGAACGTGGTCTCTTTTAGAACGAATCTACATCATTATAACAAACCACTATTAATTTTCTGAGTTGGTAAATTGTAGCAGGGATACCCCTATACAAGATATGCTGAAGACGTTGAATTTTTTAAGCAATTTTAAAAAGAGACTCTGGAGATATTATCTTGGTTTGATGTGATGACATAAACAGCGCGAGAGGAACGTGGTCCCCATTAGAACGAATCTACATCATTATAACAAACCACTATTTATTTTCTGAGTTGTTAAATTGTAGCAGGGATACCCTTATACAGGATATGTTGAAGACGTTGAATTTTTTAAGCACTTTTAAACAGAGGCTTCGGAGATACTATTTTGATTTGATGTGATGACATAAACAGCCTGAGAGGAACGTGGTCTCCTTTAGAACGAATCTACATCATTATAACAAACCACTCTTAATTTTCTGAGTTGTTAAATTGTAGCAGGGATACCCCTGTACAGGATATGCTGAAGATGTTGAATTTTTTAAGCAATTTTAAAAAGCGACTTCGGAGATATTATTTTGGTTTGATGTGATGACATAAACAACGCGCGAGGAACGTGGCCCCCTTTAGAACGAAACTACATCATTATAACAAACCATTATTAATTTTCTGAGTTGTTAAGTTGAAGCAGGGATACCCCTATACAAAATATGCTGAAGACGTTGAATTTTTTAAGCAATTTTAAAAAGAGACTTCGGAGATACTATTTTGGTTTGATGTGATCGCATAAACAGCGCGTGAGGAACGTGGCCCCCTTTAGAACGAATCTACATCATTATAACAAACCATTATTAATTTTCTGAGTTGTTAAGTTGAAGCAGGGATACCCCTGTACGGGATATGCTGAAGACGTTGAATTTTTTAAGCAATTTTAAAAAGAGAGTTCGTAGATACTGTTTTGGTTTGATGTGATCACATCAACAGCGCGAGAGAAACGTGGTCCCCTTTAGAACGAATCTACATCATTATAACAAACCACTCTTTTCTGAGTTGTTAAATTGTAGCAGGGATACCCCTATATAAGATATGCTGAAAACGTTGAATTTTTTAAACAATTTTGAAAAGAGACTTGGCAGATACTATTTTAGTTTAATGTGATCACATCAACAGCGCGACAGGAACGAATCTACGAGTACATCATTATACCACTATTAATTTTCTGAGTTATGGCAGTTGTTTCTACAATATTATGTCACAAGTTGACGTTAACAAGAAGAAAAATCCTGAGCGCCTAATCTCATCGATTTCTAATATGACCGTACATCAAAGAGTTGCTGATCACGAATACTAATAATGTATCTCCTTGTTCCAGGCTCAAAGTTCCTATGCTCGGAAGTAATAGCACCAATAAGGAGCGAAGTGGACGACATAAGCCTTATCATAATAAACTTCGAAGATCTTACCACTGTGCCGGCGCCATCATTAGAAAATAGCCCCATCGGAAAAAATAGGTTAAGTAAATGTAAGTAATTTCTTAGTTATTCTAACCCATTGTTTAGCATTAGTTAAGGGTTGTCGATGCTCTTGTGTAAAAATACGTATTCTTAGTTTAGTCATAACTCAATTTGTTTTTGCAATAGAAACAGGAAGGGATCAGGGCCTGTTAGATGAGGCTCGGTGCTAAAAATAACTCAAATTTCAAGTTGATGGCTTCTATGGATTTTTTGCATTTAACTATTTTAGAACGTGGATTTTCAACTTTCCCCAACATTTTACTTTTTCTCACTTTAGGAATTTTTGTCCAAAATTCATCCATTTCCTACTTCAAATATACAGGGTGTTCCTTAATGATATGCGAATATTTAAGGGTGTGAATCTACTTGAAAAATTAATGTTAGTTTGCTTTATAAACTAAAATATCTCCTTACAAAAACTTGGGGTGTTGAAGTATTAGTAAAAAAATGGAAAGTAATTAATATTTTATATTTATATTTAAGAAAAAAATTTTGCGCCAATAGTCTTTTTCCAAATAAAACTTTTTATTATTATTTATTTTTTTACTCAATAATGGCGCATCGTAGGAAAACAATCCAAGAGAGATCGTTTGTTTTAAATTGAACGGGGAATTCAAAAATAATTTTTATTTGACAAAAAACCATTGTCGAACCATTTTTTTCTCAAAAAATATCGAAGTCAATACACGTACGCACGTCGTTGTTAAAGATGAAAATTATTTTTGCATTGAAAAATATGCAACTTTATTAACCATCACTACGTACTAAATATCAGTGAAATATCTGAAGCAGTTATGAAAACATTAATTAATTTCCATTTATTTCCTAAAACCAACATCCCGAGTTTTTGTAAGGAAACATTTTTGGGGCATAGTTTATAAACCAAACTAACATTAATTTTTCATGTAGATTCACGACCTTAAATATTCGCATATCATTAAGGAACACCCTGTATAGGTTCTGAAATGTTTAGATATGAAACATTTCATAGATACGATCAACAGCGAGTTATTTTCAAGATCGAAAGCTCCGCTTATACAACATGAACCTTTGGGTATCTGTAAAGGGCTCGATGAAGAGAGACGGCAACTATTCTTTCGAATTTCGACTATACAATACATATTCGTCCTATCACCCGTCATCGGCATTATAGAAAGATACTGGGTCGGAGGGTTGCATCGTTAGACAAACTTTATTCATGAATCATTCTGCAAATTGAGAAAGGAAATTAGTTATAAATCCTGAATAGGGAATATTTCCCAAGAAGTTTAAGCACACTTTGTTTAATGGCAAAATGAGTTACTTCGTAGCATAACACAGCCTCATCAGTTATCTTTCTGTTGATCTGGGCGTCCAGACAATAAAGTGAAGAACACATAAAAATACGTTAGAGTTACCTAAGCACTAATGGAATAACTGAAACCACGGACGTAGTCAAGAAGTTCCCCTGAACAGTTCCTTATCAATGGTTTATGTTTTATGATGCATGTCGTTATTTTGTCTCGTTCAAGAGTCTTGGACTACTATCGGCTAGGGCCCAGTTTTTCAGTCGCAGGTTAACTAACACCTTGGTCTTAACTTATAGTTATCTATGAAAAAGCGTTTTTAATAAAACGGTAGTTAACTGCAACCAGAAGCTAGAAAGGCTGTGGTTAAATAGCAATATCTGAGGTTTTGTTGACACAGACTTCGGCGTTCAAATACACCAGCCTTATTTGGTTTTTCGCCCGAATGGACTCTAGGTTTGGGTTGTAAATGATGGAAATGAGGTTAAAAATGCCCGCAAATGGGTTAATTGCAGAATATTGTTAATATTAGGTTTAGGTTGGTGCAGCTAAGCTAGAGAATTACCTTTGGCGTTTATTCAAAAATACACAATTTCATTTTAGTTCATGTTATGGATTATGACGTTATTACGTATTGCTAGAAGACCAATAATAATCCGCCATCGGCCAAATTACCTTGACGAAATTTGACCACCTGGATTTTCGTGCAAGATTTTGTCTTACAAAAAGGACTTTCCAGTTTCCTGGGCCACTTTTTTTGCTCTCGCATTATCTTTCAATTTTAATGATACATTATTTCCAGATTTTTTGAGAAATTTTAATCTCTTTTTTTGATGTTCTATGCTAGACCGGAAAAAACGTTGACATTTTATCCCTATTGACAGGTAACAAAATGTCAATTTTTCTGAAATTAGTATTTTCCCCGGGAAAAAAATGAGTACCTTTTTCCGGGCTTGCAGCCTATCCCATTTTGTTCCATAAATGTAATTAGTTTGAAATATTTTGAAATGTCTACATTATTATTTAATATATATCTTCCATTCCATGAATCTTGAATACGCCGTTTCATGAATTTCCGCGATTTAAGCATCCCACAAACCGGCGCGAAATATTCGCTTTGGCTTCGAAAATTTCGCGGCGATGAATTCGCGATCAGATTAAAACCCGGCGGTTTACGGACAGGCTCAGACTTGTGCGAAGCAAATGCGATTGTTCCAGCGATTTTATCGCGGCGTATTTCAGTTCGCCTTTGACCGCGTTTTTGACGCCGTTCTACAAAAATTCGCAATGGCAAAAACGGAATTATTGATAAAAATAGTGAAAAAGTATCCTTGTTTGTATGATTTGTCGAACGATGAATCCAGGAATGTGAGAAAGAAAGACAAGATTTGGATGGAAATAGGAAAAGAATTAAATACAAATGGTATGTACCTAATATTTTTTAATAACTTGTTAAATAATTTACAGTCCACACAAATGTGAAAACGAACATTCTATATATTGGGCATAGGCATATCAGAATTAAAATAATTTACGAATTTGTCACGAGTAGAAAATGCTAGCCTTGCTGCCCGCCGAGGATCATTTGCTATATCAGTAAAAGCTCCAAGCACGGGTTCTGGGGGATCTAAGAATTGAAAATATTTGTCATCGCCACTTTTACTTCGTAAAAAATTGTGAAAACACATGCCGTACGTACAATTAGAATAGTAGTATCTACTTTAGTTTCTAATGGCCTGTAAAATATTCGCCACCTTTGAGACAAAATACCAAACGCATTTTCCACGACCCTTCTAGCTCGACAAAGTCTTACATTATATTTCTCTTTTCTGACGTCTGTTAACGTCTGCTTAAAAGAAAATGGTCTCATAAGGTATGGTTTGAAAGCAAATGCTTCATCACCAATTAAGACGTACGAGCAGATTTCATTTTGACCAGGGAGAAATCTAGGTGCAGGGACATTCATTGAATTTTGTTCAAATCGTTTTCCCATGTTTGAAGTTTCGAAAATACCCCCATCACTATTTTTTCCGAAACCACCAATATCACCACATATAAATTTATAGTCCGGGCCAACAACGGCCATAAGTACTATTGAATATTTATGTAAATAGCACCAGTAATTGGAGCCACTGTTGTTAGGTCTCTTGATTGTTACATGTTTACCGTCCACGCTGCCAATGCAATTGGGAAATCCCCCATCTATTTTCAAACTCTTCAGCACATTTTTTCCATATATTCTCTGTTGGTTCTGGTAAATATATATGCTCCATATGTCTGCATATCGCTTCACAGACTTCGGTTACGATTGCACTCACTGTTGTAAAGCCAACTCGAAAGCTATGCCCAATGGTATAGAAGGTGTCACCAGTGGCAAGGAATCTATAAAAAATCGTTTTTAGGTGATGAAGTAAAAAAAAAGGTGGAAGAATATCAGAGACACATTTGCAAAATATATAAAATCTACCAAACCAAAGACCGGCCAAGCAGTGGGCAACATAAAAAAATGGCAGTGGGCTGACTACATGGAATTTTTCCGTCCTTTTTTGGCATTTGCCAAAACGTCGTCTAATGTGAAAGATATTGACGTCATACATTATGAGACTGCCGAATTTAACTCAAATATATATCAGGAAAGGGCTGGAAATGTAGAAACCGAAAATTTGGAAGACCGCGGCCATGGAGAAGATGAAAATGCTGATGTAGATGCAGAAGATTCACAGAACGCCTCGGCAACACAGACAGCACCACCTTCTTCATTGAACACTACAGCAGTGACTACTCCAGGGCACACCTTTCCGCAGACTGCTACCACACCAAAATATAAAACGAGCAGAAAACGCTATGAACCACCATCTTCGTCTGTACAACAGCTCATTAATTATTTTGAAGGTAAAAAACCTAAAAAAGAGAACGAGGCCATTGATTCACTTTTCTTGGCACATGCATAGACTGTGAAAACACTTCCCTTAAAGCGTCAAGCCCGAATAAAACTAAAAATAGCCGAATTAATAGCGCACGAAGAATTTGAACATATTGAAGAAATGTCTTCAGCGTCTACCCAGAATTCTGCAAGTATGTATGATAGTAGTATGTCGTCCTTCCCAAGCGGCACTGGGTTTACTCCAATAATATACCCAACAGAGGAGGCAAATTCTGCCTCGAATTATTTAGCAACATTCAATCCTGGTGGCAACATGTAGTCCAATTATTACAATAAAATATTTATTTCACGATCCCTGAAGTTTTCGTATTCGATAAGCCTACTAATTTTAATACATATAATTTTTTTACCTGAGTGTAATAGCAAGTCGTTCTTCTGGCGAAATAGCTTCACGATAATTTGTGTCAGATTTTCGTATTTCATCTTTCACCAAGTTCAATATTTCATCGAAACACTCTGGAGTCATTCTAAAATATACGTAAAAGCGCTGTTCATCCAGCCAAAGTTGTGGCATGAAGGTATGGTATTCAACAAATTTATTTCGTTCCAAGTTAATATCATGTACCCACTTCCTTCGTTTCCTAAACAAAATTGAAAATATTTGTTTTATGTACTTCGTTAAACTTAATACATACCCAACTATCAAATGGCGTTAAATAAACATAACTTACCGTGCATTTTGTTCCTCTTCTAAAGCAAGAAATAGAAGTGCCTCCTCTTCTTCTGACGACGAGCTCATTGCAAAAGGCAAAAATAAAATGTACGCAACCTGTCGAAA